GTTGCAGATTCTCTTGAAGTTGCGAAAGGAGCACAGGGAGGGCCATCTCCTGGCATTGTTGACAACAGTAACAATTCTGTTCCGTCAAACCATGTCCCTTCTGCTTCTTCTTCCTCTTCTTCTTTTTCCTCCTTGGAAATCATCTCCCCCCGCCCTTCCCCTTCTGTTCCTGGCAGGCCCTTCATGTCAGCCGCAGTGGAGGACTATTTCGACGAGGACGACCCCCGGACTCAGCTCAATGCTACTGACACGCCGCCATCATCTTTCTGTGTCACTACACCACCCATCAACGAGACTCCGCGCAGCCCGAGTGCGTTAGACAAGGACGTAGAGTCTGGTAAGCCAGAGATGAGTACGCAGGAAGATGGGGACGAGCAACCTCCATGCCAGGTCGGCTCTCCCGATATATCTGCTCCTCAAAATACCAACCACGTACCGTCTCAGCGTCGCCCGAGTGTGATGGATTATCTCATTTCACAAGACTCGGCAAAAAATTCGACATCCACGTCTGAGGCAAGTGGTCCCTCATCCCACAGAATTGCAAACGGGTACACCTGGTCGGATCACGGCCAAGCAGGTCATCAGGCCAGGCCGAACGGCTGGCCGTTTGTAGCTAGCAGCCATCATGGCGACGAAAGAAAGTCACAGCTCAGCTGGAATGGACAGCAGTCATCGTTTAGGCTTGCTGATAATCTGTTGAGCATTCACGGCGACTACGGGACCGAAGCGCCTTACAGAGGAGGCTATGCCCAGCCCTACGACCATGGCGGTCCGTCGGCTCCCCGGTCAAATGTTAGTGTTCCTCAAAGTGATGTCCGCCCAGACCAGCATACAGGAACTTTCTGTCCAGAGTTTGCCAACCACTTGGAAACGATGGCACCCAGCGGGTACCACCTCTTGGCGGCAAAGCTGTCTGGTGACGCTGGCGGTCAGCCTCTTGTACCAATTTACCGTCGTTTTGACGCTCTCAATCACCGGTTGCTCTTGTATATGCAAGACGAGATTGCCGAATTGGAGCGGCAACTTATTGCATTGGAAGCACAGGACACGGCGAAAAGAAGCTACCTCGGCGGTGTGATACCAGCCTCGCGTCGACAGGATCGCTGGATCAGCAACAACTTGACAGACCAGAAGACCGAGGTCCTCGGACATATTGGCTACAAGCTGAGTCAATATAGTAAGTCCGCACGCACACAAGTACAATGTTGCCGCGTTGGCCTGACCTTTCTCAAGATCAAGTTCTGGCGTCGTTTCGCAAGGTCCAAGACATTCCGGTGCCAACGTGGCGCGATATTCACTTGTACAAGACCTACTTGAGTACAAGCAGGCTAATCGTAGACGACGAGACGCGGTTTCTTGATGCGGAAAATGACTTGGTATCCCTCTCTGGGCCGCTGCAGTCCGCAGACGACTTGAATACAGTCGATGACGGGCCGACGCCCATGCCCAAGGCAACCGAAGAACAACAGCAGTTCCCACCATTTTTGAAGGACAACGGCAGCTCGTCGACGCGGGCAGAGCAAGCTACACCCCAGCGACCGGGCGACGCTGTACTTGTACGGCTCGCACTGTCGTGCATGTGCGTAGTCTTTGTGCCCGTCATCACCTTCGCCGTCGTGCCCAACTTCATAGCTCGCATGGCCATTGTAGTGTTTGTCGCCCTGAGCGTGGGTGTCATGATTGAGCAGTCTGGGTTATTGCCCGAAATGGAGCGACACAAACTGGCCTGGACGTTGTATTCAAGTCTATACTGTGGTGCCATGGCAGTGGTTGCGGGAACAGTCAAATAGTGCCTAGTAGGACGATGAGGGAGATTTTGATGGCCGATGGACTCGAGTACAGAGGACAATGGTCACTTAGACGGGATACGGATACGGGGTGTGATGGGGTAACTGCGGGTCGGTTCTCTTCTAATTATCATCGGGACGACTGCTTTGCGATGAAGGATGAAGGCGTCTATCTGTGTCAGTCTCCGTCGAAGAGTCAGTGTAGAGACCATGGCGCCACGAGGTCCGGCAAAGTGACAAGCCCAAAGTGAGCCCGATGCATTTCCTATTTCGGCAGTTGTACCAATACCGTTATGATTGGGCCGTTATGATTGCTAGTACGGAGTACCTGGGTAGTTGGAGCTTAGGTTCCACCTAGAATTTTATTTTATCCTCCAGCCTCCAATTGTTCGAAATCTATGTATCATTGGCCCCGCAATTCATCAAGTTCCTCAGGCGATGATGCTCGAAATCCCATCAGGGCCCTGTCAGAAGTCCATTCACCCACTCGAAATCTCACCAGCATTCATGATACGCAATAGAGACATGTGGATCAACAATCCCTGGGGCGGATGGTTTAGTGGTATAATACTCCCTTAGCAAGATTCCTTCTAATGGATTCAGATTTGGGAGTGGTCCGGGGTTCGATTCCCCGTTCGTCCAACATAGGCGGTTTAATTCCGCTGTTATACCTTGATTTTTGCGTTATTTCTTTTTGGTGCTCTTTTGTGTTCAGAGGCAATTCTCTTTTTTTGGGCAACTAAACACACCGTAGTCGCTAGTCCTAATCAGGTCGGACGCTCCACTCATTCAAATTTTGTGCGGCTTGCGTCTGTTCAATTTGAAAAGTGCGTTTTTTGAGGTCTTTGAGAGACATGTCTGTTATTTGAAGCTATCAACGGCGGCTCGTAGTTATGAAATAAATTAAAGTTGCTAGTAGCCTCGTTAGGGTTATTGTAGAGAAATTTGACATGTATTAGCGACTACAGTGGGATTTAAAATGGACTGCGGTGTGTTTAGTTGCCTTTGTTTTTTGGCTTCCTTGGCCCTAGAGAGAGAAGCAATTTGAGATGATTATGGACCGTGATACAACATCTGATTGGGCGGATGGTTTAGTGGTATAATACTCCCTTAGCAAGATTCATTCAACTGAGTTATCTGGGAGTGGTCCAGGGTTCGATTCCCTGTTCGTCCATTGACAGTCCTCGCTGTTAGCATCTTCTTTTTTGCTGTTTACACCATTTCGTGGACCTGTTGATGGGAGACCTTGTGTGAAAGTATTGCGTCCACGTAGTCATTCTTAAAGAAGACTAGCAGCTTGTTAGAGGTTCTCTTTTGATCCGTGGTGAGTTTACCTTTGAGAAATGTGAGGATAGCCGCTCTTACTGTCTCGTTCGTCGTGCCTCGCAGACGTTGTATTTTGAAGTTGCAAATTTTTGCCCAACTTTGCACCCACAACCACTACCCTAGACATTAGAACGACTGCACAAAAACACAATTTGGACACAATCATGTGCCTATAATAACCTCTACACGGCCTACTATTCCCCAAGTTGAATTACGTGGATTGTAGTTCCGGTTGGCTTTTGTAGGTGTACCGAGAGTGGGATAATATGACAAACAACATTGTCCTTGGCTATGTCGTTCATGGCAGGGTGGCAATCCCTTTGAATGTGCGGAGGTGCGTTTGCTGTACCAAACTAGAATGTCACCTAATAAGAGAGCTTATATTTAAGTATACTTAATTTTACTAAGAAATTACATGATAACAAAAGTATTAACCACTTTACATATACAAAACACTACCTTTGTATTCATCACGAAAAGACATACAATGCTAGCTTGACTTTGTTACTGCAAAGATATCTTCACGGTACTGCAGGAAAGGGGAGCCAATACGGCAAACGCGCCTTCGCACATTCAAAGGGATACACGCAACTTGGTGAGACATTGGCCATTGAGCAAGGTGAAAAAGAGTCTGGTGCCCAGAAACACATGCCCAGGGCAAATTACAGCGTCAGGTCCATCGCAACACCTCAGACGAGGGCGCAGTCATGGTATCATTTGCCCCAGCCACCAGAAGGAACGATGACCAAACTATAAACAATAGACCCAGAAGCGCAAGTTGCGTTAAACCCATTAACGATATGGGGTGGCATTTTATTCCAGAATTGACCTTGTCTCGTGCAGTGTACCTAGGTAGTTAATATAGCAGTGACACACATTTCTGCTGAGCTCCTGTCATGGTCATCGACGGCTTTGCAATTCCACATCTCACTCCGTAGTCCGTCCCGATACTTGAATTGTGCCGTCCTTGGCCTTGCAGTCAATGTACTCCCTGTCGAATGTAATTATTCCCAAAGGGCGAATAGCTATCGAACCCCAATCCACCGTGTCTCACAGCTCGCCATGCATAATAGTATGCCCTGGCAGTGAGACAATTGGTCTCAACTTTCAAGCGCTTGCAGGAAGTCTATTTGATTTGTCCTCAATTACACATGGTAGTCGCTGTCCATTACCGCCAACGTGCAGCCATCTCGCCACTCAGATGTCGTAGCAGCTCACCTTCTGCTCACATCTCGCAACTGACAAGGGCACATGCTGATGGCGGCTATTTCATTCAGGCCGCCAGCTGCAACGTACCTTGGGAACAGACTTCTGCAGCTGGCAACAGGCAAACAAGCACCGATGTTGCGAAGTTCGCTTCTGTCTGCAGCTAAAAGCCAGCACCATCTTCCTTTTCCTCCCTTCTTCACCATCATCGCATCCACAACCTACCCGTCTCCCTTGACAACCCCTCAACCACCACCATCTTCACGCACGATAATCGAGGTATGTAAAAAAAATAAAATGCAAAAGAACCCATAAAATAAACTCGATTCCACATTTCCATCAACATCCCTGGACATCAAACCCCAAAATGCCCAACTACAGCGTCGTCGCCCATTCCAGGCTCAGTCTCCTCCCTCGCCAAACCCTCGCTTCAAGGCTCCCTTCCCAACATTTATTAAGACGGGGGATAACCCCCCTTTCATTCAATGTTCTTCATCTAGTCGAAACATCTCACAACGATTCTTTCCCCTTCCCCCTTCTCCTTGGGTAGCAGACTTTCAGACTTTCTCACACGGATACAGGCCATCTCTTCGTCTTCACAAAACAAACTGTCGGCCAGAAGCTCTTATTATCTTGTCTCGAGGAGTAGCTTTCACAAAAAAAAACAAAAAACCGCTCATAATGCCTGGCTTCAAGATGACCGTTTTGACCGGCCTCGTTGCCGTTTTGGGCGTCGTCGTAACTGGTGGCGTCGCTGAGTCGGGCGGTAAGTGTTTTACCCTGCGCAAAGTCTCGGATATGAAAAGGCGAGGGATGCTGACGGAGAGTAGTCAACGGCCAGCTTACCAAGACTCTTGAGCCGAAACCCATTGGAACAGCCACCGAAAATGGTAAGTCGGGATATGGGACAGCATGTTTTTCTTCTTTCCCTTTGAGTCGATATTCTGACACAGAGTCAAAAGGCGCTCTTCTCGTCTCGATGAACTACTGCTCCGTCGTCGTGAACACACAGTGCCAAGTCTCTGTCATGACATCAGCTCCTGGTTCGGGCCCTGCTTCTGCCCCCGGTTCGGGTCCTGGATCGAGTCGTTCTGCTGCTGGCTCGGCTCCTCCCCAGGCCGCTTCCGTTGATGCTGCCACCACCGAGGCCAACAGCCCCGTCGAAACCAACGATGCCGTTCAGTCTGTTGTCCCCATTCCAACTCGCATCTCCGTTCCAGCTTCTGCTGGCGCCGAGAGCACCGAGGCCGCCATGTCAACCGAGACGGAATCTCCAAACCAGCGCACCAGTGAGATCACCAATTCTTCCGGCACCGTGACTCGGCCATCCCGTACTGGTGCCCCGGCCGTAACTAGCTCTGCCCTTGCGGCTGCAGCTGCTGATATAAAGGCCCTACCCGGCGTGGCTTGGGGGGCTCTTATCCTCGCCGTGGCCATGATGCTTTAGTTGGAGTTGTTTTCAAGCTGTTGGCGTCGAGGCAAAGGTTGCAATTTATGCGTGGCTTGCTTTTTGTTATCTTCATGCGTTTCGGTTTATCAAGGCCAAAATAGGGACATACCAGGATTCTTTGCGTTGCATTTTTGATCAATGTCGACATGATATGGCATAGGTAAAAACGGTCTATAGTTAGACATAGAGCTTGTTATGCAAGCATCCGAAAACAATCAATGGTTCAGAATTACAACGCACGTCTTCTCCCGAATCCCGTCTATGTACGTTATTTACGCTTTACCGACCGGACAGGCCGTAAAGTTGGTATCAAAAGCTGAGTAACTCGTGTTGACTCCAAGAAACAATGAGAAGGGGAACCGCCGCTCTAAAATACAAGCCTCTTGAGACAAATTTCACGACAAAGGAAGATCAAAATGAGCACCGCTAATGACAGTATGTATCCTCGACAAAAAAAAAAAAAAAGGGGGAAAAGAATAGAAAAAAAACAAAA